GTCGTCGTCATCATCGTCATCGTTGTTGCCGTCGCCGTCGCCGTCGCCGTCGTCGTCGTCGTCGTTGTCGTCGTCGTCGACGTCGACGTCGTTGCTGTCGCCGCCGTCGTCGTCGTCGTCGTCATCGATATCCTTGCAAATGATTATACGGGGGGCGCGTTTCTGTCGCGCGCATCCTTTTTCGATATAGCGTATCGTAATCTAAATCGAGTGAGTTAGTGACGTCACGCGCGTTCACCACGAGTCACGAATTCGCGCGCGCGGCAAGTGCATCGCGGCAAGTGTTTCCTCTTTCCCTCTCTGTTTCCCTCCCTCTTGATCCGCCTTTCCCTTGGTTCATTCGGTCGGTCCGCGGGTAGTTTTCTCTCTCTTGGGGAAGTCTCTTCGAATCCCCCACGGAACGGAACGGCCTTGAAGCGGCGTCCTTGGGAGCGGCCTTGGGAACGGCCTTGGAAGACGCGCACGTTGTCGCGCGCGCTCTTTTAACGTTGACTTTCTCGATCCACCACCACCACCACCACCACCACCAGCACCAGCACCAACAGCACCACCACCTTCGTCATCGTAGTCGGATACTTTAAGCTAAATTATGACGTAAAGAAAAGTACAAGACGACGACGATCGGTTCGATTTATCGGCCCTCGGAATGTGCTCTTCCTTTGAAACCTACGCCGACACGCTTTTCCCTTGGTGAGTATTATCACTTTCGTTACTCTTTTGTAAAGCGCGTGCGCCAATCTAAATAGGAACCTGCAAAAAATAGCACCCCGAGCGCTTTTCTACAATGGCATGTTGCTCTCTCTCTCTCACTCTCTCTCTCTCTTTCTCTCCCTGTTGGTTTGTGTAATTACGATGACGTCTGGAGCCACTCCGCGAACTCAAAAGCGGAGATGCCAAATGCCGCGACTAATGGACTCTCCTTGCCAAAGAACGCAACCAGCTGCGATATCAATTTATTGCTCGAAACTTTAGCGTAGATATTACAGCAAGATTCTAGAAATGTCTTCAGTTTCTTCGACCTTTTCTTTCTTTACTTTTGTCAGAGTCTTCCATCTAGTCAGTATCTTCTAGCGTTGTTTCCACACCCTCTTATCCGTCTTATTCGTTTGAAAGTTTTTTCTTTCGAAAAGCAAAGCTATTAAATAAGTGGAAAAACGTGGGCGATAACGACTCGAATGACACGTACCGCGTGCCACTGACGAGAATAGGATGCTCTATTTTTACGAATAGCGCGCGTCTTCGTCTTTGACGACGACGACGACGACGACGACGACGACGACGTCTTACGGTTCTCGGCTTTTAACGCGAACGAACACGCGTTCCCAATCTTTCCTTATTTTTTCTTCCTTTAATTTAATTGTCTTAGTTAACAATATCCACTAGCCATGTGGTACATCATCGTTTAAGATTCGTTTACTTTTCAAATTCGAATGTTCACCAATTTCGATATTTCCATTATAATCCGAACAGCAGAAACTTTGGATCCTTCGAGTCTTTTCTATAGCTTTTTAAACGACGTTGTAAAAATGTTTCAAAGATTCATCTGTAGAAGGACAGGATGTACTATGATAAATAAACAAGTTTGAAGACGATGGTTTTGCAACCGACGCTAAAATTTAGACGATTAGCCTTTGGATGACAGAAATATGTTTCTACTCTGTTCAATGAGTGACGGTACTCGGTCGCACGTGGCTCGTAGTAGTACTAGTAGTAGTAGTAGTAGTAGTGTAGCAGTAGTAGTAGTAGGAGTAGTAGTGTAGTAGCAACGAGACGACGAGCTATTGACACGATCTATTGGTTAACGTTGACGTACGATTTACCGTGCTTTTATTTCCTGCTTACTTTTATTGTCTTACTCGTTTTATTCTTTATTATACCAAATAGTCGATAACTTCTCACTTGTATCGAACAACACTTAAACGAATTATTCGGACATCCGGAAAATGCTTTGGCACTTTTTTCGTTCTATTTGCCATGCGTAACCACGTTATTTGCTCATAAGAACCGATAGATCGAGCGATATATCGATGCGACATTCGAACGAGTAGAAAGCTTTCCAACAAGAATTTCCATTTTGTTCAATATTTTATACATATAATTATGATACTGTAGAGTCAAATTATAATTGGAAATATTTATCGTTAAACTTTTTTATCGATTAATTTACCACATCTTCCATTCATTGATTTTACTTTCTAGTTGAACAAGAAAATTATTCTTATATAATATTCCTACCGAAGCGAACGAAATTTAGTTCCCAATTTTACGAGAGATAATTTATGATTAATTGAGGTGTATCGCATACATGTACATCAAGACGAAGAATATATTCTTATCTTATGTTTTATTTCAGAATTTTTCTATTTGAAAAGCTCTAATTGTATATGGGATTAACGATGTATCATTTGAGACAGTCATAGCAAGTGGTCATGGTGGCATTATCAGTTTGTCATTTCGATGGTTTGTATTTCTTTTTACGTAGAAGACGATTTATTTGATCCGTGTAAAATATCGTCGAATATCGTGACGCACTAGATTGGGAGAGAAGGAAGAGGAGAAAATGACACGGCAGCTGTGTCTTACTAAAAATAGCAAGGATAGTTTTGCGAAGATTCATTTTTAATGTGTGTTGCATTTATAAACGTTTTATACGGTACGCGTATTGAACATAGCGATACGCGGCGACTCGTTCGTTCTATCGATTGATTTTACCAGATATTCGAATTCGTGCGAATGGTTGAAGCAAAAGACCGTGACCGATCGCTCGGTATGGTAACTGTATTGAATGTGCAAATCCGTCGTCGTCGTCGTCGTCGTCGTCGTCGTCGTCGTCGTCGTAGTAAACGTTCTACGAGCTTGATTGTTTCTGCGAAATTTCTATTAACACGAATCGACGCAAACGCAAACGCAAACGCAAACGCTAACGCAAACGCAAACGCAAACGCGAATGTAAACGCAAACGCAAACGCAAACGCAAACGTTCCATAATTTCACGTCGATAATCGTTTCCTCGGATTTCAATCGAACCGATATGATGACTCGCTTAGAAAACGAGCCGCTTATAGACTCGTCCACATTATAAAAATACTTTGGAAAACGAGATGACGCGATAAAAGAAGATTTTGCCCCAGAGTTTTGATATACATAGATAAATGGGTGGATAGTCATAGGATTTGTTCTATTAATTTGCATCTGCAAAAATGACAATTTAGCACACTCGTTTCTTTGGACTAACATATCGCTTTATCTGATTTTTCAGGATTATTTCCGACGCCATTGCTGTAAAGCGTCGATAAACGCGTAATTAGTATAAAAGGTTGCACGATTTTCATAAACGATTTGTTTTGCGCGAGCGTGTTCGCGAATGCGTAATCGCGTACCTATTATCGATAACATTTCTGATACGATCGATCGTTAATAACGTTTCTATTATAAATGAACGGACTTGGATTGCGTGGACTGCTAACGGTTCCTATATGCCATTGCGTTATAGCTTTCGAATATAATTATTCGTGGCATGATCGTCAATTTATAATTACAAAAAAAAAAAGAAACAACGCACATTTTGCGTTATATGTCGAATCTTTAATCAGAGAATAGATGTTGTCATGAAATAAGACGGCGACGACGAAGAAAATTGATAATACTTTCACTAGCTGTCGCGAGTTTTAGCCAAATGTAGAACGGACACGCCGCGAGATAAATTTACGATCCTTTTTAGGCATCAAACCCGGCATGTCGGAAAAGTTTGGCCGTTAGCCAGAACGAAGAGCACGAGAGAAAGAAAACGTCAGGGTAAAACGTTAACACGTGTGCTTCAATGCAAACACGAAGACGAACGAGTGACCGGCATTACGAGATATTTAATTTCAGTTTGACGCTGTTATATTTCACTCGGCGTTGATGGAATTGCGATTGTTCTCTCGATATTCCACGCCCACTTTTTTTTTTTTTTTTTTTTTTTAAGGTTCACGTTGAGCTGTGATTTAAGGTGGTCTTTCTATCAAAGACCTTTCAAAACACGTCCCGATTTCTTTCCTTTTTACCGTCAACCGTTAGCCAAACTTTTCTCTCTCCATTTTCTTTTCTTTTTTCTTCCTTTTTCTCTCCTTTTTCTCTCCTTTCTTCCCATCTCTTTCTTGTTCTTTCTTTTTTATTCTCTTTTTTCCTATTCTTCTTATCCTTTTTCTTCTTCCTCTCAGCGTAGCTGACACGAGAGACGAGAAACGTCGCGTCGCGCTGCGCCGCGCTTTATATCTTACGAAGGACGATTACCAATCTGTCTCCTGCGAGTGAGGAAAATTACGTCCCATTCCGGAGGATGTCCAATTTTCTTGAGAGCTTCGTAAAGCTTAAACACGTATCTCTTTGCAAGAGTTGTATCTTACCTTTTCACACCGGCCGATTGTCTCTCAAGACAGAAAAGGATAGAGTCATTAAAACCGTAGCGATACGAAAGGATATTTAAATAAGAAAAGAGCGTAATTTTATTCCTTCCTATATTCGTAATGCTTCTTCTTTAGAACTTGTCATTATTTTATAATATAAGTATATGGGGAAACGTTAACCGATTAAGTATTCGTATATTTCAAAATGGAATGAAAAAAAAAAAAAAATGAAAAAACAGAAGGAATAACAACAACGTGTGTCGTCTATTACGTTCAGCAGTTGTTTGGTTTATTAAACGAACTCTCCCAGCATAAAGTAACGGCCCATTCATTACTAATACAATAATCCGCGGCGCTTTTCCACTTAGCCATTCGATGGTTAATGCATGGATATCGATTCTGTCGGTAGGTAGGTAGGTAGGTAGGTCCTACTACGACGACTACTACGACGACTACTACGACGACGACGACGTATCTTCACGAGCATCCACGCGAAACAAGACTATTGTAAATAAGTTACACGACGCTATTTAGTTTATGCCGCTTGTTTTCTTCTCGATCGAATAATAAGTCATTCGTAACGTAACGGAAGATATCCATTTAATTACTTAGTAATTTTAACTGAACAAAAGAAATAATGTTTTAATCGATAAAACATTTCTCTCGCGAGTAGTTCCAAACCTATAGCTATGTTACTTTAATTAACGTAAAAGACCTAGCAAAAAACTAATTATCTTACGTAGTTCGCACTTTAAGACGATCCTTTTAAATACTCCATTATTAAAATAGAATTATTTTAATGAGACCGTTTTCTGAACGAATGGCCATGAAACGACTGCGTTTTAGCGATAATGGAGCAAAAACGAAAGGATAATCGTTGTACGTGAGAAGTCAATGTTCGTGGCGTGCTTGCTCCTCCTAAGAAAAAGAATGCAAGAGCTTGGAAAGCTTTACGCACGCTAAACGATCCCCTTTGCTATCTTCCTTCTTTTTTTTTTTTTTTTTATGCAAACGGCTCCTTTATTTATCTATTTTATCGATTCTTTTTACGAGATATATTTAAGCAAAAATGTATGCAGTAATTATTACAAAATGCTCGTAGATCAAGATCAAATGAGTAATTGGTAATTGAAAGGTGCAAGCAATGAGGTAAAAAAATGAATAGTAAAAATGTATAATACCTATAATAGAGGAACACATCTTAACACGTCTGTTCGGTAACTAAGAAGAATGACAACTAAGAAGGGAAGGGGTGGGTACAGGTTAAATTCATTGAAACGCTATTTTCTCGGCTGTTTATGT